CCGCCTCCCTCCCAAAAACCCTAACCCCTCCCCGATCCCATCTCGCGCCGCCACCCTCTCCCTCTGCCATGTCGGCCCTCGGCACCTCCTCCTCCTCCAGCGCCCCTCCCAGCAACACGTTCGCCTCCTCCTACAGGTCCGAGGTCGATGAGCCCCAAGCCGCCGACATCCGCAACATCCACCTCTCCGATCACGTTCCCATCATCCTCTCCCACTCCTCCGCCAACTACTATGCCTGGAAAACCTACTTCAACCTCCTCTTCCGTGAGTACAACCTTCGTGATCGTGTGGACGGTCTCGCCAACTTCTTCGCCGGCGCCCACGACGCCAACTGGCTCGCCATCGACGCCACCCTCATCCGGTGGTTCTTCCTCACCGTCTCTCCGGACATCTTCCACACCGTCGTTCGCGATGGGGACGATGCCTACACAGTGTGGACCAAGATCAATGGCCTCTTCACCGACAACAAGCTTCAATGGATTGTTTTCTTGCAGCAGGAATTTTTTGGGTGTCACCAGAACGACTCCACCATCGACGCCTACTGCCTCCGGCTCAAGACCCTCTCCGACGAGCTCAATGACGTCGGGTTTAAGGTGGGCGACGAGCTTCTCCTCTCGACGCTCACCGCCGGCCTCAACGAGGACTTCGGCAACGCCGCCTCCAACCTCACCCTCATGGCCAACCCCACTTCCGAGCGGGCGGTGGCCTATCTCCGTCTTGAGGAGCGGCGGATGAAGCACCTCCGGACCCGCGCCAGCCACACCGCGCTCGCCGCCGGCCTCTCCATCGGCGCCTCTACACCACCCTCAGCGCCTCGTCCTCCGGCTGTCCCACACCCTGCGCCGGTGCCGCAGCCACCCCAGCCACCTCGCAACGGTGGCAACAGCGGCAACCGCCGCCGCGGTCGCGGCGGTAATCGCCAAGGCGGAGGCAAAGGTGGCGGCGGTGGTGGTCAGGCTCCTCAGCAGCAGCCCCCGCCACCCTGGGCCGGTGGCTACAACCCCTGGACGGGGGTCGTGCACGCCTACAGCATGCCTGTACCGCGCCCCCCCGCCCCGGGCATCCTCGGCCCCCGCCCGAGCGCACACCAGGCGCTCCTGGCCGCGCCCTTCGGCGCCAGCGGCGCCCTCGGCGCCCGTCCTGCCGCGCCCTCCCACGGCGCATACGGCGCCCCCGGCGCGTACGGCGCCCCCTACTACGACCCGACCCTTCTAGCGGCCCTGCAGAAGCCGCCACCCTACTCCGGCGGTGGTGGCGATTGGATCATGGACTCCGGTGCCACCGCTCATATGTCCGCTCATTCGGGTAACCTCTCCTCTGTTCATCCCACTTCCACTCCTTCCCGTATCATCATCGACAACGGTGTTGGTCTTCCTATCTCCCATGTCGGTTCTGCACCTTTTCCTTCTAACTCTCGACCTCTCTCTCTTGATAATGTCATTGTTTCTCCCCATCTCATTCAGAACTTAGTTTCTGTTCGCAATCTTTCTCGTGATAATTTCGTAACTGTGGAATTTGACGAAGTTGGCTTTTCTGTTAAGGACGCTCGCACCAGGATGATTCTTCACCGCTGTGACAGTCCCGGCGACCTCTACCCAGTTCAGTCGCCGTCATCTCCAGGTGGTCCTCGAGCTTTTTCCGCCGGCGTCGATCTTTGGCATGCTCGTCTCGGGCATCCTAGCACTTCTTCACTTCGTCAAATAATGAGAGGATTTTCTTTTTCATGTAATAAAACAGCCGCTCACTCATGTGAAGCCTGCCGGTTAGGCAAACATGTTCGCCTTCCTTTTAGTTCCTCTTCCACAGTTGCATCTTTTCCGTTTGAGTTAATTCATAGAGATGTATGGACATCTCCAGTACCCAGTAATTCTGGCTATCTTTATTATCTCGTCATACTGGATGATTACTCTCACTTTGTGTGGACATTTCCTCTTCGTAGGAAATCAGATGTTGCCGCCACTCTCATTGCATTCTATGCTTATGTCTCCACACAGTTCGGGCGACCCATACTCGCACTTCAAACTGACAATGGGAAAGAATTCGACAATCACACCATCCGCCATCTCCTTTTCACCCACGACACCGTGTTTCGTCTCACGTGTCCCTACACCTCCCAGCAGAATGGCCGTGCCGAGCGCATCCTACGCACCCTCAATGAGTGTGTGCACACCCTTCTTTTCCATGCCTACATGCCTTCTCGGTTTTGGCCCGATGCCCTCGCCACCGCCACCCTCCTCCTCAACCTCCGGCCATGCCGGCCGCGCTGGAACTACGCGCCTCATCATCTCCTCTATGGCACTCCTCCCTCCTACGACGGTCTCCGTATTTTCGGTTGCCGTTGCTACCCCAACACCACCGCCACCACCGCTCATAAACTCGCTCCTCGTTCCGTTCCATGTGTCTTCCTTGGTTACCCGGCCAACACTAAGGGTTATCGCTGCTACGACCCTGTGTCTCACCGTGTCATCACGTCACGACATGTGTATTTTGATGAGTTTGTGTTTCCCTTTGCTCAGGAACAGGTGGTACCGTCTTCCCCTCCCGCGGCTGGCTCTTCTCCGCGCCGCCGCCTGCTGCCGGCCCTGGGTGCTCCGGCACCCCCGCCCGCGGCGCCCTCCTCTGGCTCGGGGCCATTCGCGGCTCCCTCCTCCGGCTCGGCGCCCTCGTCGCCTGGAGCCCCGTCGACGCCGCCTACGTCGCCTCGCGCCCCAGCCATGCATGCTAGGCCGGCTGATGGGCCTCATGTTGGGTCGCCGGCTGGGTCGGCCTCTCCTGGCGCAGTATCGCCTGGTGCGGCCTCTACGGGCGAGGCCTCGACCCTGCCTCGATCGCCCGCCTCGCCAGCCTCGTCGGCTGGCTTCCCCGACGCCGCGGCCTCGACCCCGCCTCGGTCGCCTGCCTCGCCAGCCCCGTCTGCTGGCCTCACCGACGATGCGGAGGCCACTGTCTCTCCAGTGGACGCCGTGGATGCCACGGCCTCACCGCCACCCGCGGCTGTTCCGACGGCCGGGCCCGTCACCCGCTCGCGCACTGGGGTTTTTCGCCCGAGTTCCCGTTATGCGGACGACTACGTCTGCACCGCCTCGACGACCGCTCCTTCCCCGCTGCCGTCCTCGGTCCGGGCCGCTCTCCGCGACCCTCTCTGGATGGCTGCCATGCAGGAAGAGTTTGACGCTTTGCAGCGGAACCGGACTTGGCAGCTTGTTCCCCGTCCCCGGTACGCTAATGTGATCACCGGGAAGTGGGTCTTCAAACACAAGCTTCGTTTCGACGGCACTCTGGATCGCTACAAGGCGCGTTGGGTTGTTCGTGGTTTCCGGCAACGCGCCGGTGTGGACTTCACCGACACTTTAGCCCCGGTTGTTAAGCCCGGGACGATCCGCACTGTTTTACAGTTAGCGGTCTCTCGTGCCTGGCCAGTTCATCAGATGGATGTCTCCAATGCTTTTCTGCATGGTCATCTTGAGGAGCAGGTTTTCTGTCAGCAGCCCACGGGGTTTGTTGACCTGGCGTGTCCTGATCATGTGTGTCTGCTCTCACGCTCATTGTATGGGCTCAAGCAGGCTCCTCGTGCCTGATACCAGCGCATCGCAGCGTTTCTTCACCAACTCGGCTTCCTCTCTACACGCTCCGATGCTTCGCTGTTTGTTTATCACCATGGCACCGACACGGCGTACTTGCTGCTTTATGTTGACGACATCATCCTGACAGCATTCACTTATGAGCTTCTTCGCCGGCTTACTGATCGTCTCCGTGTTGAGTTTGCCATCAAGGACTTGGGTCCGTTGCACTACTTCCTCGGTGTTGAGGTGGTGCGTCGTCCTGATAGTTTCTTTCTTCATCAACGGAAGTACGCTCATGAGCTCCTTGACTGCGCTGGTATGCTTAACTGCAAACCGGCCGCTACTCCTATCGACACGAAGGCTAAGCTCT